ATTCCTGTGGTCTCTCATCTCTCCTTCTCCTTGCTTATGTGGCAGCAGCAGCTGATGTGGCTTAGTTTAGCCTGTGGACAGGAGCAAGCAGATGCACTAATTACTGCCTGTTTTGTTAGGGAACTGATATGAGGTTGGATAAAAGTGTATATGGAGCCAGAGGGACCCTGCTAATCAGTGAATCAGAGAGTGACTTTTAGGCAACCATGAAGAAATAAACCTAAGAAAGATATTTTCAATCTGTGAGCAGGAAAAATTACACCTTCACACTCCCAGTCTGGCATACAAGCTTTGGGATCAGCAAAGTTGACTGGGAGGAGTTCATTTAGTGCACTTCCTTGGAGATCTTCCCTCCTTACTCCACAAATTCAGCAAAGCTTTACTGGAGCCAGTAGGTTGCACATTTCTTTCAGTGAGTACCACGATATCTACTGCTGTCATTTCTGGCTTTTCCAGCATCATTTACCAAAGTGTTCTGGTTTTCAGAATATTTAGTAGGCTGACTGCAGGTTATTTGTTTTTCTGCCTCCATCCTCTGCACATCATGCAGGTGCTGTATTACAATAATTCTTTCCCAGATACTGAAATGTCTTGGTTTAATTTTCATTATTCTTTTGCCTTTTCTGAATCTTTTCTTTAAAAAATTTTTTAAAAGTTCATCCCTTTTGCATTTTAGCTTTGTTGTTATAAGCACTTTTCATGCATGCAGTCAAACATGTTGCAAATAGACGTGCCTGTATTGTATGTCACACTGTCTGTCAGAATGTTTTTCAGCTAAAGCTCTGCAAAAAAGGTACTGAAATACTATAATATAAAAGGCAGCTTGCAGCAGTGAAGCTAACTGGTGGTCCTAGCAGAGAATATCAGGTTTGGAAGAATGGAGAGAAGCATGAACAAGATTATGATGGGGTAAGGGCACAGCAAGGGCTTAAGATGAGGTTTACAGAGCAAAGAATCGGAATTAGGTATCAAATCCCAAGACTTGAAGATAGAAGAAATAGTGCAGCATAAATAGGAGGAGAGATAAATAAAACCATCAAATTAACAAAGGAAGCATCATGACAGTAAGATAAGAAAAAGGGTACTAATGCTCTCTGTATAAAAAGTGAAACCTCAATTGACATTGAGTTAGGAGTGGAAGTCAGGTTGGACTGAATGGGCAAAGGGCAAGGGTGATGTGAATTCAAAGGTAAAAATACAGTTTTCTTTTTAACAGCTCGCAGTTTGAGGATACCTGTAATAATTATTTGCCTTAGTCCTGTATTGCCAAATATGTCAATCACTTGGAGAAGAGAGCTGTTACTTGGCTTGAAAGCTGTAAACTAGTGAAACAGAAACTAAGGTGCAGTTTTCATAGTTGCAGGGGGTAGTGAATTGTGAAACTCATGGAGGAATTGAACTCACAAGTTTTGGCTAATTGTTATTAAAGAAAGGTCTAACATATTCTGATAAATGAGTTCTAAACAAATAATTAATAAATAAAGAATTTTATCCTGGTTTCCTAGGGAAAAAAGGCTCATAGAATGTGTTGTTTGTTTTGCCCGTTGGCCTTTTCCTCTACTAGTAACTTCTGAAACTGATAGCTAATTTGAAATCATTTGAAAAGAAGTGGAAGGTCAAAACCTTCCAGTAGACTTTAAAATCAGTGGCTGGGTGGAGGAGAGACCAAATTAGTGTGCCTGAAGCAAGCAGAACATTGACATTATATATTCATTTTGGCAACAGCCAGGTTGACAATCCACACATCCTTCCCAGCTACTGGCACAGCGTTGCTCTCTCTTGCTCTACATCCTGAGGAACCTGGGAAGGGAGCAGAACCTAGGGTGTGGGAGAAGGGTTAGGGACAGATGGTGCAACTCCTGAACAGTGAACCACGCTCCGTTATTTTCTTGTTTCTGATCATATGTTTTTTACAATCTAATTTTCTGTCTGCTTTTACCTGAGAATCCCTGAAGAGCGTAGGTTTTATTTCATCTATACCATTAAGCAAGGCCAAGGGATTAACAGATTTCTGTTCCTTTTTTAACGTTTGATAGATTTGAGAGCTGAAGATTTGCTTTTATCTTTAATGAAACTGCATACTATTTGAACTGTTATCAGTTTGAATGTTTCCAGAGTTTAATTAGCAGTACATGAGCATTGCTCTGAAACAAAGTCATACTTCTGTTCGCTGTTTACAGATTTATTGCTTATGTGCTATAAATTTGTTCTGTATGCATTTAATGCATACAGTCTGTGAGTGTTATTTTAACCTTAATTCTGTGTTGTCCCCTTATTTTCTTAAAATATACTAAGAGATCCACCAAAATACAATATTAAATCCATACTCTTTAATAAATCAGTTAGCAGGTGGGATTTTTCAGTGGCATCGATACCCGTATCTCAAGTAGCCTAAGTACTGTCATTACAAAATCTGTGTTTACTTCCCTTAGTAGAGCTTCAGGCTTTAAATTTAAAGATCCTCTGTTACCTAGTCCTACAAAATTGCAACTAGAATATGTTAACTCATGCTAAACCAGAAAGGATACAGAAACTTTGTGAAAAATCGTATTTTAGTTAAATCTTAGCTGCTAACATTGGCTGCAAAACAACAAAAATTTGCATTGTTTCACTATCTATCTAAAAATCTTTTAAGCAAATAGAAGAGAGCTTAATAAAGAACAGTCATAATCATGTTTATGTGTAAATATATACGTTTAGAGTGTTCTTTGGGAGAGGTAGCAATGAAAAACTACTCTGGATTGTCTAGTGTGCTTGCTTGCCAAAGGCAAATTAGCAAGTATACTCAATGTTACACTTTGAAAATTTAGAACTCTAAAATATGTATCCTTCCTTAGTTTAAAAAAAGAAGTAAAAATGAGTGGGGACTTCAATGAAAAATGTGCTATTTTTTAGCATTGTTTAAGCCTCGAGTAATGATTTGAAGCACTTGTATGCTTTTGGAACATGGGTGCTGTCAAGGCAGACCTATCCAGGTATTGCCAACTTTGTTTCTGTCATGCAGATTTAGTAGATACTATGGAAGGTCTTTCAAAACTATGAGTGCCTAGACTATTTTTAGGAAGTGGAGTTGTTTTGTTTGGAAGAGTGTACATTTACAGTATATGGAAGTCTGATTTTAATTAATATATCCTCAAAGCACATGTAGGTGCATGCATTACATTATCCTTTAATATCATTTTAATTGTTCAGAAACCTATTTTTATCTCACCTTCATTCACTTTTCATCTTTGTAGAATCTTCGGTGTATAAATTTATGAATTATTTTAATCTCACAGATTTTAAAAGCCGTATCTGTACAATTTATGAATTCTCTAATATGAATCTGTCTGCAGATTTGATTCTGAACATAAGATTTGTCTATATTTTATAGTTATCTTTTGTATTTGTTTTGGAATTATGTGCTAAAGTGAGATGATTAACAGCAAAGATTTATTAAAGTTTGATTGTTATGACTGTGAATAGGAGATTGTCTCACATTGGGCGGGTGATAACCAAGCTGATCAAACTCCTCAGCTGTAAGAGGCTGGTAAATAAGTATTGCATGAACTGGCAGGGCAGTTTGACCATCTGATCAGGCAGACAAGCAGTAACTGTAAATAGGAAGCTGCCTAATCAACGATTTTTACAGCAAAAGTTTTCAGTCCACCTTAGTGTCTGCTTACCTAATCCAAAATTTGGTCAGTAATGATTTTATAGGAGACAATGTTGAAACCCACAGTAAAGTAAAGGTAGATGATGCTCACTGCTTTCCCATCATCCACTCAGCCAGTCGTCTCACTGTGGAAGGCTATCAGGTTGGTTAAGTAGAGTTTCCCCTTAATAAATCCATGCTGACTGCTGCTGGATCACCTTCCTGCCTTTCATGTGTTTGGAAATGATTTCCATGAGGATTCGTCCTATGCAAACTTGTAAATGGTGAGCAAGTATTTTTGTTCGTGTGTGTGTGTGTATACACACGTGAGCTAGGTAGAGGAATAAACTAGATTGTTAATAGGATGCAGTGGTCTGCTTTGGAGTGGTTAAGACATGGTAGTTATTCTTAGACATACAAATTTGGATCAGAGTATTCTTTTGTCGGTCAAAAATACTCATTTACAAAGATACTGAATGTTGATGTTGTAGGCGTACACATTTATATAAAAACATAAATTATAGTCATTGTATTTAGTGTGTATTACTCTCTTCTTTGAAAGAACTCCAATACATTTATAGAGAGAAATGATAATTTCTTCTAGTAGTGTTTTACAAAATAATGTTGTGTTTACTTTGTAGAGCAGTATGTCTCATTACATAACAGCTATACATTTCCGTTTCAGGGAATAAAGAAAACAGGTTTTATATTTTCTTGGTAGAAAAGACAGTGACAAAAAAAAAAAACAACCCAACCTGATATAATCCTCATGTAAATTCACATCATTCGTACTGTGGTTCAGGAGAAATGCCTTGGTTATGGCTCATTAAACAACAATATGAAAGTGAATTATTTGAATTTGAAAATATAGTGTATCTTCTATCAGTTGGCTTTTAATCAAGTTTATACTTGATAACTCAATTGACAGAAAACTCCAGTGTAACTCTTAGCTTGCTCGTGTGTTTGAATTTCTAAGAATTTGTTTGTTCATTTGTCTACCTGTGTCAAACAGCATTGCTGTATGTGCAGAGTGGTCACCCACTTTCTGTGACTGCAGGTGAGCATGATGACAGCTAATGCTGAAATACTGTCTCCTGGGGAATTCACACTTTTGGAGTTTGTTTATATGACAGTTTCCTGTAGTGCTAATCTTCTGAGAAAGGAAAGTTTCTAGATAATGGATGTGGGTTTCTCATAGATCTCATATGTATGTAACTAATAGAGTTTTAAACTCTTTAAAGTTTTGTATTTTACTTTTTCCTTTAAATTTTAATATGTAAATCCCATTCTATTTAAGGTAATTGTTTGGGGTAAAAAAGACAGAGACATATTTTGAAAGATTAAATTTACTGTTATTTCTCTTTAGTTTCAGGCACTGCATGCTGTATCACACACACTGGTTTTGCTAGGAAGGAACAACATACTAAGAAATTCTTTAATATCTCTTCTACTATCAGAAGTACGTCAGTTTGCTGAGCAGCTGTTGCAAGCTTACCAGGTACTGTCATCTTTTCTTTTGGAGAAGGGCCAAAGAGTGATGTTGGGGAGTGTTTTGTCTGTATCTATTTGTTTCATAAAATCTAATAAATGGATCATTCTATAGAATATGCAGGTTTGAGAACCCAGAAAATGCTAGGACGTAACCTTAACAGCAGATTCAGAAAAAAAAAGGTAAAAAAAACCAAAACCAAAACATTCCTTATGGACAAAAGTAAAATTATCAGACTGTATAATAAATAGACTGTATAGGTTTTAAGATCATGCTATATAATTTGGAAAATACTTGAAATAATTAGTTAAAACAATTATTGCAATGTGTAAATTGTTGGCTATACAACTTGAGTGTCCAGCTGGACCCACAAAGAATTATGTCTGTCTCTAGCTCATGTAAAACTGGAAAGAAAGTTGCATTTATCCAACACATATAGTTGTATTTAGTTTGTTGTAATGAGTAAGAGATGAAGAGCAGAATAGAATAGGAATAATATTTTTGGTAAAATTTGTTCTTAGGTTAAATTTTTTCCATTAAACAATAGAGTTTAAAAAAAAAAGAGAGAGACAGTAAGTGGATGTTCCCTCAACATTTGGAGAAGCAATGTATGAAATAAAGTGGGGTTTCGTAGATTTTTCATGTATTTGTGTGTGCTGATATGTATTTAATGCAAACTGTTCAGTTTCACTTGGGATTATGACTAGAAGATTATCCTACAAGAGCCAATAAAAAGAAAGCATGCAGCTTTTTATTTGGTGGCAAATAAAATTTTATATATAGATGCATATAGAGAGAGATATATATAAAAACATTCGTTGTAGGTATATCTAGTGGCAGTCCAGTTTAACAAATGTTTTAAGTGTTACTCAAGCAGTCTTCACTTTATTCTTTTGCTCTCTGGGATATGATGTGGGAGTAAGTTCTAACTGCTGGGGAGGGAAGATGTAATTTCCAACCCGTATTTCTAGTATGTTTGAATTATGTTCTGAAAAGGCTTCAGAAAGGCCAACTTTGAAAGAATGAAATAATGAGTTGTGTCTTATTTTAAGTCAGTAGTAGCATACCAGAATTACTGATGGCAGACAAAAGTGAACAGACTTTAAACAAATGTAAGGATATGGAAGTGCGTAATTGAAAAAAAGCTTTAAGTTTAAACAAGTTGCTCATTTTTAACACTATTAGATCTCAACAGAATTAGTCATCCCTCCTTTCAGCAGGGTTTTTGCCAGTGGCAACAGAGAACTCTCCAGTGCTCCACACTGATGAAAAGCTTACATTGAGCATTACACTTTGCTGAGTTAGTTACTACGGTACTACTTAACCTTGACATACTGTAATTATTTTAAGTATTGCTTTCGTATTTGGTACATAAAACTTATTTCAAACAATTTCTAAAAGAAGTTTGACTCTCTTTGGCTTTCCTTTATGTTGGGAGGAATCACGTATTTGATTTAAGATCATAATAAGAGAGATTACAAAACTGTGTAACTTGCAGTTGAGAAAATTGAAGTAAATTAGTATCCTGTGTTTTTAACTGTAAAAGATTCTCTTTAACTACACCAGTGATTTTGATTTTTCTAATGGCAAATTATTTTATTACTGGCAGTGTAATTTGTTTATTTATGGGAAGATAGTAGAAGGTTTTATTCATATATAAATATAGAGAAGTTGATAATTTAATCCCTGAACAATTCTTATACCAGTGCTGGTAAAATAAATGGCTTAAATGCTAGTCTCACTAGGGTGGCTTGATAACCCCTAGTTGATGGTACAGCAATTTTCCTTTTCTTTTCATTTTTTTTCTTTTTTTTTTTTTTTTAAAAAAAACCTTTGGGAAAGCCATCACTCTGCTTGATTTCCCCCCACCACTGTCAAGAAATGGAAACCTTCAATTGTACTTCCTGGAGCAACTGAAGAAAGTTGTATCTAGTACTGAAGGGAAGGTGCCTATGGAGTGGGAGACAATTTTTGACGGGACAGAGACTTGTACTCTTTATTGAGAAGAAAAAATGTATTTTTGATCTTGTAAATTTATTCTGTTTCTTCACACTTGGTATATGTGGACTGTAATTTGGGAGAGTAAAATGCATTTATTACTTGACCTTTTCAGCTTCAGAACCAAATCCTTTTTCAGGTTAAGTCTTGGCTACCTGCAGCCCTCCATCTGTCTCATTTTAATTACCGTGCTTACTGCAAATCTTAGCCATTAGCAGTCCACGCTACCGATTTTCAGACTTTCTACTACCAAGAGCCTGGAAATGCCTCCCACCTTTACAAGTGAGGAAATTTATGTTTATTATTGTGCAAGGGAAAACAGAAAGATTTTCTGACAAAACACTTAATAAGGTTCCTTTTCACTCTTTTTTTTTTTTTTTTTTTTTTTTAAAAACCAACCCTTTCTGTTCACCCAGAGAAATAATTTAATTCTGTCTATTCAAGAATTTAGAGCCATGTTTGCATAAGGAGAGTTCCCTGCTCTGCTTCTGCTTCCTCCCACTAAGTTGTCAGTCTACCTTCTGCTACTGAAATGTGGTAGACCCTATCTTTTTGTTTTATTTATTTTTTTTAACTGATACAGTAATTTATTTAAATTTTCCTCATGTCGCATTACAAGCATTTCTTGGAAGATTAATGCATCTTGATCAACCAACCGCAAACCGTGGTCTGGAACAGAACTTTAATATAATCTTATCAAAGCTTATGGGGCTTTCTTTTGAATCCTTTTAAAACACTTTGTATTTAAGTGACCGTCAGAAGAATAAGTGAGCTTCGGGCGCTTAGGTAGAGACTCCAGTGACTAATTTTGCAATGACAAAGTAGTCTTGAAATGTTCACCCTGCAACACGATGTTGGACTTTTTCTAGGAATAGTGAAAGGTTTAATGTCGCTGAATTTGATGCTGCGGGAGCTGTGCATCTCTCTGTATCTGACACTTTGTAGGACTCTAAGATTTTGCAAAGCTGCAGTTCATGTAGCGAAAGTAACTGAAGTTCTGGTTTGCTTAACTTGCTGTGCTAAGTCAGTGCTTTTGAAGTTTATGCATTCTTGCATTTAGTCCAAATAGATGTATTGCGTTCATTTACAAACCCTTATACGTTCTGTATGTGATAATAATTTTTGGAAATACTTCTTAACAAAAACCTTTCTCCTTATCACAGTAGGACACTAAACTCTATTATTTCTGATAGCCTGATTTGCAGATCTGCTTCTGAATGTTTCTGACTTTGTGTAACATTACTTCTGGTAGGCATGATTCTAAAAAGGACTAAATTTTTTTTTCTCTTCTTGTTTTATAATCAAAACTAACAATATGATATCAGTTTGAAATATACCAAATGACAAAAAAAAACCCTTCATAAATACTTAAATTAGAATTTGCAGAAGGATAATACTTTATATAATCAAACTTCGTTAGCTGACAAGTATCCTAATCCTGTTTTGTTACTTAACAAAGACTGCCGTTAATTGCAAAGATGTTTCATGACTTCCACTTAAGACAATCAAATTAGGGACTCTAAATTTTGCCTATGATTAGACTTACACAAATTCCTGTTTTCTTTTTATTTTGTTTTTTGTGTCTTTTGTTGTTGGCAGATAGGAGAAACAAAGAAATCATCTGAGGCGTGAATTCAGGTTAGCTTGCAATTAACTTTTAAACATTTGGTGAAAAAGAGAAATTAAAAAAAAACCTTATTCATCCAAGCAAATTTCTAATGTTTTATTTCTATCTAATTATAGTTTTTTTAAAGTTGAAGATGTTTTCGAACATTGACTTGGATTGAAAACAAAATTCCTGTTAATTTTTCTAAATGAATCATCTAGATATCTCAACACTTTTATCTTAAATTCCTCATTAAGACTTGAGCTAAGCTACAAATAGTTTGTAAAATGTTTGCATTCCAAAATACATAACTTTACATTCAATCATTTCTTCAATAGGATGTGTGTTCAGCTCAGGTTATATAGGTTTGTGGATACGTCCTTTGATAAATAATGAAAATTTTTTACTTTAAAATTCTGACTGATTTTAGTGAGTTTGTATCTCAGTCCTTTTGGAACAAGCTTATCTGTCTATGTTTTAAAGAGCTATCTATGCTTTAAATGGCTTTAAACTGGAAGAGAGTAGACTTAGGAAGAAATTCTTCACGGTGAGGGCGGTGAGGCAGTGGCAGAGGTTGCCCAGAGAAGCTGTGGATGCCCCATCCCTGGAAGTGTTCAAGGCCAGGTTGGATGGGGCTTGGAGCAACCTGGTCTGGTGGAAGGTGTCCCTGCCCATGGCAGGGGGGATGGACTAGGTGATCTTTAAGGTCCCTTCCAACCAAACCATTCTATGATTCTATGCCACTAGCTTTACAAATTAAAAAAAAAATAATTTGACTATGGGAGAGTGTATCTAATGAACTACACCAGAAAAGTACAGGGATTACTCTGCATATTTTTGTATTGTTCCCTAATTGGCTAAATCCATTAATCTTAGAATACGACAAATTAATGTGAAATATGTGAATTTTGTTTAATATTGTGGACCAATATTCTCACACATTAATATAGAAAAGTAACTAAGGAGCATGTAAAACAGGATAGTTATCCTGTTTTTTTTTTTTTTTTTTACCCAGTTAAGATTAATTTTATGGTAGTAAAATCTCAAGCAAATTAGTGGTTTGCTTTAATTCATTTAAGTACTTCATCATGTGCTTAAAGTGAAGCTCATACTTCAGCACTTCTCTGACCCCAAGACACTGACTTCTGGGCAACAGCATATTAATATAAACTCAATTGGGTCCCTTAATTTTTACTGATGTTGGATATGTACTTTTCATTTTTATCTGTAATAGGAACCTTTCATGCTTCATAAATACCATTTATAGGAATACAGTAACTGAACCTTATCTTCCTATGGAATAGAAATCTTCTGATCCCCAATTGAATTCCTACTGCAGAGCAGATACAATTTTAAGATACTAAGATTTCATAATGATACTGTAGAAGATGGATTATTTTTTCAA